GAGCGCTTTTGGGCGCTTTTGAGCGAAGTATGGCCAGGGCTAATGCTTAAAGACGAGGTTTCATAGAGTTGGTCTTTCCATGGTTTCTTGCGAGCTTTTTTATTGGACTTGGATGCGACAAAAAAGTTGTTCTGGTCTTTCAATAAAGCCTCAAATAAAAGAATTAGTGCTACGCTTGAACATTCTTGTCGCCTATTCATTGCTTTTGAGAATTTTTCTTTACAAGCAGAAAGTCCTAATCACACATCATTCATTGTTTTTCTGTACTAGGTTTTTGCTCTAGCTATCCCTTTTCACCTTGGCAGCTGCTTGCAGTATGTGGCTTCGTATGCAGTTTTGCATATACAATACTGATTTATGCTATCAATATCGCACTGCTTAGAGCGGCTTATGGGTCATCCTTTGTCAATTATTGGAGGAAATCTTCTCAATCACTCTAGGAAAGCTCTGCGAGAATTTTGGCTCTTTCGAGATTTTATGCTCTGGAATAGAATTTCGCCTTTTTTTCTGTCCATGTGAAGGACCTCCTTGCCCTGCCAATATGTGAAGTGTCAAAATTTGTATCTCGCTTCCTCGCTCCATGTTTGTCACTCATGTCACTTTTCAACCGGGCAGGAATATAATATGTTTTCCATTCGTTTAGTAACCATGGCAGCTCGATCAGGTGGACAAGCGGATTATCTCTATCCCAACAAAGACATCCCAGCTCCGTTGCCGGAGGATTTCTATAAAGAGTGGCTTGCCGGCGGCAATCCCGCTTCTCAAGCTCAGGGTATGTTTTTTTTATCATTTATTGTCGAGTTTCTTCCACTTTTAGTTTTAATTTGTGCTTATTCTCAATTATAAATCAAACATTACCATTAAGACTATAGATAGCAGCTGAAAGTTCCCATTCTCGTTTTTCAACCAATTTTCAGCTTCGACTAGATCGCAACCGGGTCCTTCTGCAACGGAGGCACTTGTTGAGCAGCTCATCAAAGAAAATCAAGATCTGATTGAGAAGGAAGCGTTAAAACAAGTAAGGCATGCACGTGAAAACCATGTTTGTCATTTTTTTGCTGTTCCAGTTGTCATCTTTCTCTTGTAATCGCATTGAAATGAAAGAGCTTTGGTCTTGTTTTCGTTTTCTTTTGACCTTTACTCAGGATCTGTTTGCTATTTTTTACAGTTCTATGTTGTTTATATGCTAGAATTTATGTCATGAGATTTCTTGCGTGATTCAGAACATCCC